CTTTCATCTGTTAGCTGCTACTTGCCTCATGTCCCAACACCAGTTATTATATAATGCACATTTTTTCTAATGACCTGAGGAGACATGCTTAACATATAAAATGTATCTTTGGATTTGGGTCTATTACTACACCTTCTATTCTGTTCCATTAATTTATCCATTTGGCCCAGCTGGTGTGACTCAATGGTTGAGTGTCGACCTATGAACCAGGAGGTCATGGTTCAATTCCTGGTCAGGCCTCAATCCCCAGTGGGGATTGTGCCCATTTCCACAGGAGCCACCCCCCATTAGATGATGGACTAGAGTCAGAACACATAATTCATCTTAAGGTCTCTACTGGCCCCCATGTCCCCTAGATCCTTTTCTCATATCCTCATGTCCTCTTTCCCATCACATCCTGGTGAAAGCAAGGATGGAAAATTCAGCTCCAGGTCTTTCTTCTGAAGCCAGGCAACTGTTGTAACCACACAGGCTGGCTAGAGCTGTGATACAGAATTCTGCTCAGGTCTTTCCTGGCCACGTACCCCAACAACCAATGTGCTCTTCACAACAGGTTGAAGCAGGGAGGGAGAATTTGCCTCAAGGTCTCTCCTTGCCCATTGACTCATGACCCCCTCGAAAGGTGAGTGGAAAGGGGATAAATAATTTGTCCTGTACTTTCCTCACCGCTTAGCGAAACACCCCTCACATACTAGTCTCAAGGCAGAATGGAAATGTTGCCCCAGGTCTACTGCATTCTTCCACAGACACCCCTCATCTCCTTAATAGCTGGTTGGAGCCACAATAGAGAATCTGCCTCCAACTCTATCCTCATCCCTTACCCCAGGATTCCCTGTGCAACTCACATTGCAGACAGATATATGGATGGATGCTAAGAATAAAGATCCCTACTATAAAGGGCTCCTGATGAATAACTGAGCTCAAATTTACAAATAAAAAAATAATAATAAAGGAACAGGGGGGAAAAAACAGAGCCTCATGTTCATTTCTACACAGGGGTTTCTCACACAAACCTCAATTCAGGAGGGAGTGACCTGCAAAGTTCCTACAACATCGAACTGACTGATCAAGACATCTGGACTGAGCAAAGAAGAGATGGCAGGACCAGACCAGAACACAAAGATTGGAGCAGAGCGGAGCTGAGTTGTGTGGCCTGAAAGGGAACTCAGTCAGGGCAGCCTGACCCCAGAGCTTCCTCAAAGCCATGATGCTTCTTAATTAAGTAGCACAATAGACCTGCTCCCACAGCGGTGCAGCTTCATGCTTCTCCTGTAACAACACTGAACTTCTCAACAGCCATGATGTTCTCACAGTCATGCTGTGTCACCATTGACCTATTTGCACTGAATTAAGTCTCCCTCTTCACCGCACCCCAACTTAAGGACTCCGGTTGGCGTTGAGCTAAAGACAAGGACCATCAGTTAACAGACACCAGACAGCACAGCCAGGATCAGGACCCCAGAAACAGACGCCAGTCCCCACACCAGACCACAAACCAGAAGCTAAACCTCAGACAGAAAGCCAGAACCTACACCACGAATGCCAGACACCAGATGCCCGAGAATGACACAGGACACCTTCCATCAGGCCCTGTTGTCATACTGCACATGGACCCCACACAGGTTTGCAGGAAACCAGCCACACCCAAACACAATCCAGAATCCAGAATCCAGACAAAGGGCCAAATACGATAAGACTTGAAACCACAGACACTATAGTTGGAACTCAAGTCTGTGTTTAGGAACCCAGATCCCTAAGTAGGCACTGGACACCAGACACCACCTACCAGATGCCAGACACAGGAGCTGAATCACAGGCGCCAGACCAGGATCCCAAGGGTTAGAAGATAATTAGAACTGAATAATAATAAAAATGCTACTTTACAAGACTTACAGAAAAATGTGCAGTCTTAAGTGCACATATTAGTCTTAGAAAGGTGAGCCCAAAAGCAGGGGTTCTGGCATAACACAAAGGTTACTCAGGAGCCCAACAGCAAGGTACTATCTTTACTTCTGCAGAAGGGTGCATGCCAACACACTGCCTCCTGCACGCCCCCTACTGGGGACCAAACACAGGGTCTGGCAGCACCCACACTGAGCAGGCAGTCCGCTTGGGGCTTAATTTGCACGTCATCTGTCCCTCACTCTTGATTAGTCAGAATTAATGCTCATATGCTTGCGCAACTGGCTAATTTAAAGGAAAAGGGGAGAGGTTGACCTTTGCAGTTTCAAAATAGTGGTTGCCTCACTCCCTTCTTTGATAGAAAAGATTACTTGTTTATTCTCACATTAGGAAAAGAGACAAGCTGACTATTTACAAGTTTTACACCCTTCTTAAGAACCTAGAAGAGTAAAATAAATCCACAGAAAGTAGAAGAAAGGAACTGTGCGTGTACACTTGTCCTTAAGGGTATGTGCTTAAAACAAAAGCAGCTTTTACCTCTTGGGATAGGATTTTGAATTAATTGTATTCTTCTCTATAGTTTAAGTAAGCTGCAATGAACAAAGCCATTTTCATTTTATAAAAAAAAGTATTAGAGGAAAACTTGGGAGAGTTAAAACCTGTATAAACAAGAGATTGAAAATACTTTTTTACATAAAGGCGGAAAAGTAAAATTGAAGCAGAGAGGTTATGTCACCCAATACTTATGCTGAGAGCCCTTCATCCCTACTACAAGTCATGTATATTATCCCACTTGATTCATAACAGTCCCACGTAGTGGAAAGGCTGGGCATAATTAACTCAATTTTATAGATGACGAAACTATGTTCTCACTGTCTCAGAGAGGCCTATGGGTGGACTGCAGGACCTCAATGGCCAGCTGTGGGCAGCCCTTGTATCCCAGTAGGAACATAGCCAATGCCAGCCCTCCACTGTGTCTCCTGAGGGGGAAGGAAGCAGTGGCATCTCACCCATGAGGAGGAAAACAGCTCCTGTCCATTACCTGTTCCCCCAGTTCTCCCTTCCCCAGGGCCAGGCGTGGAGCCTCAGCCCACCGCTCACCCTGAGGCTGGTCCTCCCAGCCTCTAAAGCAGCGGTTCTCAACCTGTGGGTCGCGACGCCTTTGGTGGTCTAATGACCCTTTCACAGGGGTCGCCTAAGACCACCTGCATATCAGATAT